TTTCGTTATTATTTTCCCCTTTTTTTTTTAATCATACTAAACTCCTAATAACACTTAATTTTAGGTAAAAATGTAATTGTACTTATTTCAGAATTATTCATGTTAGTTTTTGTTCAGTTCTTTTAAATGGTACTTGAGGTCTACTTGATATTTGTATAATTTAAATATTTGGTTTATGGTTACTCTGTAGTCAGCCACAGTTTGAATTTTGTTTCTATCATTCTTGATACTCAAAACCATACTGTGAGCATTGCATTCAATGTAAAAACTAAATGTGGAATTATTTTCTTCATAATAACACACAATTTGAGTGCATATGTGTGTGTGATCAGGTTATTATAGAAGCTGAATCAAAGTCTAACCTTACTAATTTGTTGTGACTTATGTTAAGTGTGTTGATAACCTTTAACACTGTTGTTTATTCATGGTTTCCATCTTGTCATCATTAACTATTTCACTGTTACTATTTTTTTTATGTGCAAGCAAACTAATTCATGTTTTCATTGCATTTACACTTGCTGTTTCATCAATTATGGATCTGTAAATTCACTATTCATTATTTTTATTTTGCTTCCTCCAACATCGTTTATACAAGTGCATTTTTAGCATCTTTAGTATTGGTAGATTATGTTGGTCCTGCATTTAGTGATACACAGCTATTGAATTTTTGCAGTTTGACTAAAGTCTTAAATCTTCATAGAGTAGTCTTTCATAGTAATATACAAAAAGGTACAAACTGTACTATTTGTAGCTTGGCTGCAGCATCAATGTGTTTAATAATAAAAAAATTTTATTTACTCAAAAAACAGGCTGAATGTGGCTAGCACTGGCTGCATCATCTGAAAAGAAAACAATGAAATTATTTAGATTCAACAACATAAGTACATTTAACAGCACATTTTTCATTTATATCATAATTAAGATAATATGGAGTTTAATTTTGGCCTAAAATATGTGCAATATAAGGAGGTTTAAATGTGTAAGTGCAAAATAATGTTGATAATTTAAATATAAAGACACAGAGAGAAAAAAATCATTTATATTGGTAAGTCTAAAATATTGGATGTTTATGAATCCAAGATAAATTATTTTTGCTGACCCCCCCCCCCCCATAAGTTGTGTAGAATATCAGTTTTATTGACTTTTAACTTAAGTGAATAGGCATGTTAACTGTAATAACCCTTCATTTCTTAACCCTCACCAGTGCCTGATTTTTGTTGGTGGTGGGTGAGGTTTTCTGGTTGTTGTTTTTTCATTGTGCTGTCACAAGAGGAACTGTTGTTTATTGATCACTTATATAACTATCTATTATTGCTTTGTGTACACACAAAGACTCATTTAAGTGTTTTAAAGGATTCAAACATTTTTGCTGTAACATTTCAACTTGTAACTGTGGAACTATACCTACTATAACTGAACTTATTAAGTGTGTCTTCACAATATTTGACAATCTTTTAGTAAATATTTACAAGTCTGTTGTACATAACAAATCAGATTTTTTAATAAAGTATTTTACAAATCTTAAACACAGACATTTCAAGATAATTATGATACATTTTAAAATATAAATTTAATTTATTTTTGTTAGTCTATGACTTAAAATACAATCAAAATCACTACATAACATAGCTATTTCTTGTGCCATTACACATATGTCAGTCGGGTAATGGAGTTGCACTGATAGCCAGTTTTGATACATATACCTTAGTAGGCCTAATGATGTCATATGCAAGGCCAATTTGTTGAAATAAATGGTGCAGTAAAAAATTAATCTGAAGTATTGAAACTAATATAAATGGATAGTATTTATTCCAATTTATTTTATTTATAAAACTCATCAATGGCCTATTTTTACTCATTTAATTGTTTAAAAGATGCAATGTTTACTACCTTTGACCGAGGATGAAATGCAATGTTACCTTCAATTGATGGCTTAAAGGTGCTAAACTTGAGTTCTTATAAACAGAAAATGAACTGCCAAAACAATTAATAAACATATAGCTTACAGATAATAAAATATGATAACTAAAGACAACAAAAAGTCGTACTCACCCTCTAGAGGTGACTTGAAATGTTAAAATTTACATTCTGGTGTAACTATATAAGCAAGGAAGGTGTATGGAAAATTGTGAGAAGGAAAATAGTCCCAGGTTTCAGTTGATATGTTTATAAAGCTTCAGAAACAGGAAAATTGAAAAAAAAATATGCAGGTAGTTGAATTTCACAGCTCTCAATATCACCAACACGTAAAAGTTACTGTTTCCAAACTATATGAGCTAAAATGAAGCCTCCAATGAATGCAGAGGCTGCAGATCTGTGGCTTTAGATTGGTCCATGTAAAAGCTGTTTCTGCTCAGGTGGGTAATTTATTTATTTTTGCCATCTGAATAATAATTCCAACAGTTAACAGTCAAAAATTGACAATTAGGCTAACAGTTTCAATTTTCTTTAACTACTTCGTCCAAAGCAAAAGGTTAATAAAATTTAATACTTCAACATGTTGTTATAGTTTTATTTTGGAGGAAGTTTGGGGAATACATCACAATTTTTTCAAAATTTCATGTTGTCATTTTCCCCCTGGAATGTGCTGCTGGAAAACGTTAAGAATACGAAAAACTTATTTTGATTTTAGAGTTCTCATATTTCATTTACATAGACTCTAGAATAATATTTATTGGATTTCATGAAAATAAACAAAAACTGACAGGATATTCATACATATATTATAATAGTTTTTTGTTGTTCTTGGAATTTAGTGGTCCGTGACAGCGAGCCCATTCTTAGTATTGAAAATATTGAGAAATGCTGATCTAGAAAGTGTATTTTATCTCTTATTTTCCTCTACCATAACAATATATTTAGCATGAAGTAAAAAGCCACAAAATATGCAATAAAATGAATAAACGTTTTTTTTCCTTCTTTGAATACATCATTTGTCACAAGTTCTTCATTTAACTTCACAATATCAACTGCTAGCCTTTTCATGTCCGATTTCTTTTTAATTGTATGGTTTTACTGTTCTACTTTGAATCACATGGAGCAGCAACTGTCCTGTTAAAAACAGTAAATTACAGTAGGGCTCCATTAGCTATTTCTATACAACACGTACAATATGTGCAGTTTTTGCAGGCCTCAATTATTGCTCACTACATTGGTTGTCCGAAGAAAATTCGTGTAGTTTTCAAATCCACATTTTAGAATACAAAAAGTAATCATTTACCAGGATAGAATGACCTAAAACTACGTGAATTTGTAACTAAGCTATAAATATGTTAAAAATTGCTTTACTACTTGGAGCATTTACTTAAAACAAATCAAGCACCTATTCTTAACTATTGTCTTTCACCAACAAAAATATACAAAGAATCATAAAATCTATTAAAAAAAAAAATCTGTTCTTTCTGTTGGTTATAAACTTGTCTATCAGCAATGTACAGAAATAATTAAATATTTGTCTTGAAAACTGAGACAAATGAGAGGGGTTTCTCTAGTGGGTTTAACACATTGTTTGATATCTCAGCAAGTCTAGAAGATCGGATGTTTGAATTGTATATTCTTGCTTGTAATTATGAATAGTTTGTGTTTCTATTACTTGGACAATTTGAAGACCATGTTGTTAAAGATATAAAAACTAAAAGAGAGAATAGATGCATCACTTGTCACAGAGAAGTGAAGATAGAGATTTCTTGGAAATTTTATTCTAAAATTAAGAAATTAAAACTTGGACATTATAAAGATGTGAATTATAAACTATGTTTTGATGCCAAGTTTATTAATATACATTGATAATAAGGTTGTTTAAATTTTGAATGTAACTAAAAAAGTTGTGACATATGTACTTTGTTCCAGCCATATGCATAAGGTGGGTTAACCAATTATTTTATGTTACACTCTTTGATGCTTGTAGGTAATTGGGTTAATTGCCTAGCACTACTCATATAAGTGCACTAGTTGTTTCCTTGTTGTGCTTCAGTGAATTGGTCCATGACTAATATGAATTTTATATAATTGAAGTGCCCAAGTGTATCATGTGAGCCATCATTTAGCTTAAAATTGTGTAAGAACAGTGGTTGAAAGCCTTGTATAAGCAAGCTGGATTTACACAATAATAGAAAGACAGCATTAGTTATTATTATTAATAAATCCCAATGATAGATAGTTTACCAGGCTTAAAAGAACAGTTGTAGTATAGACTGTAATATAAAGCATATATTGATTACTAGATTTCATTCAAGATATCTTGATATGCTGGATGTCACCGTACATTATTGCTGCAGTATCTCAGGTTAGCCTGCAGTGTGGAAAGTTAGGCCCAGTAATAATAGGAGGTTTTCAGACCTCAGGTTTTGGAGATATATTTTCTTTCGAGTTTCAACAGATGGGTTCTGATGAAAGAGACGAGTCAGTTTCAAACAAATAATATTTAATGATGAAATCACAATTTACGCTACAATATACAATACAATACACAATAAGGCATGTGATTGGTGTGTGTGTGTGTGTGTGTGAATGTAGAACTAACAAGAGCT